TGCCTAAATTTGAGGATGGGAAACATCTAGGTTGTTTCACACAACGTGCCTGAGAATAGAACTAGTGGCAGAACAAAAGCAGAAACCATTCTCCTGAATACAAACTAAATATTATGTCATCTTATTCATCCAGCTGTTTATAACAAAATCCTGCCAACCTGAGGCTCGGACTAGTCATTACAGCCTCCATGAAACCTTCCCTGACTTCCCCAAGTAAAAGAAACCCTTCATGCAAGTATTTTTTCTCACAATGAGTGCATCTACCAGAAGCAGCCATTTACTTATACCAGGACTTTCTTCCCTAATTATTCTCACTGAAGAGTCCCAAACCCAGGTCAGGAATGTGAAATCCTGGGCCCTGGGCTCTGTCTGCACGAGGACAAAATGTCAAATACGATGGCCACTACATTTCACTTTTTTTTTTTTTTCATAAAATACCAGCAACTTTTGTATTTTACAAACTCTTGGTATTGATATTTTCTCCTGATGTTGGAATTACTATTGCTGACTAAGGTCATTAATGCTTTTATTACAAAAACCTACTGAATAGTTTCCTGTTTTACCTTATAAATGCTCCCTGTAACCTTCCTTTCCTATATCCAGTTATTCATCAAATATTTAATGAGACCAGATACTGCACTAGATACTGGGAATATAATAGTGAGCAAAACACGCGTGGGTCCTACTATCAGGAGCTGGTAGGACAGAGCGTGAGAGAGCACCAATCAAGCAACCACCACAGAGGTAAACATTCCATCGGAGGAATCACAGGGCACCTGTTTGGTCCAGAGGGTTACAATCTAATCTGGTTAACAGAAGTGATATTAAAGTGAAATTTGAGGAATTAAGAGATGAAAAAATAGTTCACGTGAGGGAAGATGAAACACTGGAGGCAAGAAAAAACATACACATTTAAGGAACTAAAAGTTCATAGAGGAAGGGCAGTAGGGAGGAGGGATGGTACCATAAAGGGCTTTGTAAACTATGGTAGAGTTTGGGTTAAAGGCTATGAAGAGCCATGGGAAGGTTGTGAAGGTGGGTAAGGGACAAGAGAAAAGTAATTTTTCTATCACATCCATTATTTTCTATTCTTTGTCTTCAATGATTATCACTGTTGTCTAATTCTACCTAAATACTATAAGGAGCTAAATTAAAAGAACATTTGTATTTGGCTTGGGTATAAACAGTAAACTTTCTATGTGTCACAGGTAAATTATAGGTAAAACTTGTTATTTTTGCAAAGTAACTTCTTGACTCCTGATTGATATCACAAAATAGATAAGGTTTGACAATAGACTAATAGGTAACTGTATCTCCCTTTTATTTGAAACCAGTCAGCTCTAAATTATTCATTCTAACTGAAGAACAGATATATATACATCACCTAAAATGATCAATAATCCAGATAGTTTCTGTCACTTTAAAATGTGCTTTTTAGTTTTTATTTAAACATAGGTATCTCTGAAATCTAGGAATTTACTTAAAGCCACACTACAGAAAAGGGTAAGTCCACAATACCTATTCTTGTGACCCTTCCCATACTGGAAACTGAAAGCTTATGTTAGGCTGATGCCAGGACCAAGTAGGGGGCTTATACATTTTTTTTTACATTTTTTTGTATTTGACATTTTTAAAAAAACAACAATTGTGAATATCTTTATTTTTCTACTGATAAAATATTTCCACACGGAAAACAAAGAGAAGCAGTATCCCCTTTCACATCTTCCTTGAGAAGAGTCATGTTTAACTGAGTTTAGAGTTTCTCTGGGATACACAGTATGTTTAAAAATACTAATAAAAAGAACCACATGACATTAACAAAACAGTGTAATATTAAGTTCTATCATTTAGGTTTACATAGGGATAATATAAATAATGACTATATTCTAACATATTTTCTGGGAAATACTAAAAACAAACAGCAATTTCAGCAACCAAATGGAAAACAAAACAGGAATGTTACCGAATTTTAAAACATTTTTTGATAGAGATCATTGATTACACTGAATCTTTAGTTTTGACCTTTGTAAAGGAAATCAAGGAATAAGTGCTTTTACAATCAAAACTAACTAAAACATTGCAAATATGCTGACAATATTTTTACCTGAAATAGGTCAGGAGGAACTCCTTTTTTATAGATAATAAAAATATCTTGACATTAGCAATTACTTTTAGCTTTGTTTTATTTCCAAATAAAAATTAGGTGAGTTAATGGATTTATACACATTTATAGGTAGAAAAGGGCTAAGAGGGCTTTTTAAAAAAGATTTTATTTATTTTTAGAGGTCGGGGAAGGAAGTGAGAAAGGTCAAGAAACATTGAGGAGAGAGAGAAACATCAGTCGAAGGAGACCTGGCCTGCAACCCAGGCATGTACACTGACTGAGAATCAAACCAACCAAGCTATGTCAGCCAGGGCATAAAAAGTTTTATTTTACCACAAACTCAAATATTTTGTTATTGTCAGCTGGGGGTAGTATATAACTCATCAATATTGACTGAATTTGAGAAAATCATGGTTGAGTCCTATACCATATATACCTAAAACTTTAAGACTCTACATCCTGATGTGTGTTGTATAAATCTGTAACATGATGATGCTTTTGTGTAATACCTGTTTTCAACTCTTAAAAAAATAGACCAAACCCCAAAACATTCTGATTTTGTTGTTTAAAAAATTGTTTTCATTTTAATGATCGGAGTTAGTAACAAACAAATATACAAAATTGTCTTTCACATTTCCATACATTGTATTATGGACCACTTAAAACTCTGGACTACAAATGCAGGTTTCTTTGTATCCTTAACTTCAGTTATTGTCCCTTATAAATAAAGGTGATTTGCAAAAACATGCATTTGTGAACACAGATGCCAAAAGTTGCACATGTAAATAGGTTAATGCACAACCAATAGTGTACACTGTCCATTTGTGCAGTTTATGTATCAAGTGCAATTGATACGGAAGCAGTTATCCTGGGATATTTCACTCTATTTCAAAAGCACTTGTAGAAACAGATGGAACTACAGGTTAAAACAAAAACTGTACTCTACAAATACAATAAAATTCACAACTTGTACATTTGAAGAAACTTTTGGGACCCAAAGCTCATTCAGTAACCCTGCTGCTGTACTGGTTTTCTGGGTCTATCTCCAAAGTCATGGTAGGAAAATAGCTGCTCTGATGAAAATAAATAGGTATAGTAAAAGAAAAGGGAGACTTCAAAAAATATGAGGGAAGCTCTGAAAATAGTAATAATGTATGAATCATCTATAATTTTCATTTTTAAATTTGGAAACTTGAAGAGAACCTGAACATTTTCTAAGCCATTTTAAGATTTTTCCATCTTTCTAATGTTTTCTAGGCCACTTCTCCCACCACTAATCTGAACTATAAATAAACACCAACATATAAGTTTTTATATTAAATTATTTCCAGGTATCTGTAGTTAGAAAAATCTAATCTTTCTTAAAAGTGTTTTCCTGGGTTGCAACAACATGTACTTTACCCTCTTTAACTCAGTCTACAACCTAAAGTTATTTCTATGTAAATTCCAAACTCCTTGGCAAGGAATGTGAATGCTAACCAGCTAGATATTTATTCAACTTCATAAAGGATGGACTTACGTATTCTTGTCTTAATAACTGTCCTACTTTCCCCTAAGGCCCAAATTTGATGTCCTTGCCTGTGCTATATGGATAAAATGAGAGAAGGTGGTGCAAAACAATGTCGTCTTCTCCAAGTATTATAGACTTGGCCTCTGATACTATGAAAACACTCATTTTATTAAGATTAATACAACTGCCAACAGTTTTAGGACAACTGCAGTTGAAAAGAAAACAGGTGATTTTTTTGCAGGAAACATCTCTATTTTCCATGGGCCTTATCATGAAGAAAATGTGGCTAGTGATTTCAAGCATGTACTTCAAGTTACCTAAATGTAGACGGCTTTTAAGAATATATAAACCATCAGTGATTCAAGCAAGTAAGCTGGGGGAGTAATGTAAAGATGTATACTTACAACACTACATTGTCATGTAGTTGTCTACTCTGCACTTTGGAAACAAAAGAAACCAGTTCTGTCCAGAGTCAATACCAGAAAGAGATATGGCTGCTTCCTACTCTTCTACACTTAGCAAAATTAATTTTACGATTCTCTCACTGCTGATAGTTTATCTCTCACTGCCAGTAGTTTATTTGAGTTAGCAAAATTAATCTAATAGGTTATTTTTGTTTTAAAAATAAGCTGCCTAAACAGGTTAAAAAACTTCAGAAATGAAACATTTAACCCTTGAGAGAAACTTTGATTATTGAGTGTCTTGTCTAAAGGCAGGTACAAAGATTCTTGAATGAAAGATTATTGCTTTTAAAAAGATAACCATCATAAATAAATATGTAAGCTTAACTCAAATATTCATTTTCACTCAATGCTACAATGTTTTATTCTCAAACCAAGTCACATGTCACCTTCAGTTCTTTGCCAGTTTGCTGAGGTTTTTAATTGTAAGAAGTTGGCCTGTTATCTCAAAATTAAGACAGTAACAACAGCCACATAAGCAGGTCTTATTTGGGCATTGAGCAGTAACACTGCTTTCTTGATAGGACTTAAGGCACTAAATGGTGATAAAATAAACAAAAGTATGGTGATTAACAACCTCTTTACAATCCTAAAAAAGGAGATCATTTAGAAGGACACTAGTACATCTTTTTCTCAAACAAATAAGGCATCCTGTTGGCAAACACAAATAAAACACAAGGTCATGTTGAACGTAATACATTCACTGTCTCAGCTAAAGTACTTGACACACTAGCTAGCACACTAAGAAAGCTATGATAGCACGTATAAAGGTTGGAAAGGCACCGAAAGGAGAGCTCTACCACTTCCAGTTCTAAAAGTCGGGTAAGCTGTGTTTAACACTGCATGTAGTCTACTTATAAATTTTATTCTTTAAAATGTATAATGTGGTTAGATTTTTGTTTCAACAAATCAGTTAATCAAGTGCTAGTTTAATAAGAAATTTATTTTCATGAATCGGAAAATTACAGCAGTGTCTAACACAACCCCATTATAAAGCTAAACTAATTCTAGTACTGAATGCATATTCTGGATAACACTGAAGCAAATCTGTATAAACAAAAACGGTTACCTCAAGATAGAATTCACAATAGAAATTCAATATACAACTAAATAAGATTTACTGAAAATAATGAAAAGTGTAGTACAGATACATCAAACATAATTGTAATCACATTTTCCTTGTGAAAAATACAACTATTAGTGAAATAAAATGTACAATTGAAAAATTTTCCAAAGGAAAAACAGTATAAAGGAAAATACTTTTCTTTCAGATAGGGAAAATAGTATGTCATTGTTTCTTTCATCACAATATAATTTGACACAAAAAGCAGTTATAGAATTGCACCAATTCCATATCCAGTTTCCTGAACATGTTAAGAGTAAAAGGAGTTCATAAAGCAGAATGCAGTTTCTGAATTTTATATTTTAAATTGATGATATAGAATGTCACAGCACACCAGATCTGTTTACATATTGTACAATACTTTCCATTTTGTGGCCAGACATGAACACAAACATGATTTCTGCCACCTTTCTTTCATTCTGGTGTTTAGTCAGAGTCAGGAAAAAATAATCAAGCTACTTAAGTGTTATCTCTCTAGTAATTAAGAAAAATTATATTTAGTGCATGCTTCATCATTTGTCAAAAAACATTTGTGAAAATAAAACTCAGTTACCCAATGGATTACAAAATAGAAAAATCATTCATTAGGATAAAAATGTGGTGGGATGTAGGTCCATTTCCGAAGGACTGACTTCCTTGGCAGCACCACTGTCCTTCAGCAGAGGTCAAGTAAGCAAGTTCCAAGGTCAAAGCAGGTGTGCCTGCAGAAGGCCACTGCTTGACGTTTGATTATCTGAGGCCCTAGACCCTCCACCATTTCTTTAGTGCTATAAAATAGACGGAATTTTCGTGGAAATGTTAGGAACATTTCTGCTGTACATGATTTAGAAGTTCTCCAAACTTTTCAAATAGGTCTTCTACCCATTTTACATTTTTCATACAAAGTTGAACAATTTCTTCCTGTCCTAAATCTTCATTTTTTTTCTGCACAGAGGAGATCTAAAATAAAGAGAATTGCCACATTAGCTTATACCTACCAATTTATAAGCTCCCCATAAGGGCTTGCTATTTCTATATCCTGAATGAAAAGAGAACAAGTAGTACTGATCTTCAAAAAAAAAATCCCCATGGAGAATAATTATTCCATATTAAAACTGGATGAAGTCCAATCCTATCATTTTGGCCCCATGGGGGCAAGGGAAGAAGGCTAGGAAAAGTGGTTCAAACTTTCTCAATTCCTTTCAATTGTGTTAAAAGCAGAATGACAAAATTTGGATCAGTTCTTCATTTCAGAACATTGTAAAAACAGTCAACATATTTTGCATGACCACCTTTGCTTTTTTCTTTGCTAAGTAAAGGTTAGATTTATGAACATCTTCCAGTAGCAGACCATGATGAAATGTATCAGTTATAGCTTTGAGTAAACTTAACCTTTTTAAATTAAAAAACTGGTAGTGCTGGTCAAAAAAGGTAGTACTGTCTACAACCATTTAAACACCACAAGGTGGTATTGTCATACATAATTTCTGAGCAACTTAAATTATGATACTCTCATAAAAACTACAACTAAATTTTAACTATCATTTCTTCATGCCAAGGCACAGAAATCCTATTTCTCTATAAGTAAGTGGGATAGGGCCAATTTAGTGATAAGGAAGACAGTGATATACCGGCAGTGACTAAACTGAATGAAAATAGGATCAACATACATTATGAAAGAAGAAAATACAATAAAATTGCATTTAGTATGGCAATGTAAAGCAAGCACTAACAACTTGAAAACATTACCACTTATAGCTCATGTGAGAGGTGGAGAGCCTTAGATTAATCTGAGCACAATAAATAACAGATGTTCAGAACAATCTTCTAGTCGTTATTTACAGGAGAATATAGACACATGCACTTTTATTTATAGTTGGAAAAATTATTTTATTGATTTTAGAGAGGGGGAGAGAGAGAGGGAGAAGGAGAGGGAGAGAGAGTGAGAAAGAAAGAGGAAGGGGGGAGGGAGAGAGAGAAAACAATTTGTTATTCCCCTTATTTATGCAGTTATTGGTTGATATTTGTATGTGCCCTGACTGGGGATATAATCACAACCTTGGTGTATCAGGATGACACTCTAACCAACCAAGCTACCCAGCCAGGGCAACACATAACACTTTTAAACAGTTCTCTTTAACACATTAAAAAATACTATAGCTACAGCCCTGGCTGGTGTGGCTGGTTCGATTCCTGGTCAGGGCACCTGCCTGGGTTGCAGGCCAATGGATGTATATCTCTCACACATCGATGTTTCTCTCTCTCTCTCTCTGTCTCTCCCTCCTTTCCCCTCTCTCTATAAATAAATAAAATCTTTAAAAAATACTTTAGCTACAGTCTCCTTAAAGTTTGGAAAAACATACATTTGTTTTAAAAATTAAATAAAAAAATAATTACCTCATCTTTACATATCAGGTAAACGTGGTACTTATAATGATGGAGTGAATGATACAAAGAATATAACTGTATTTTCTCTGGATCAACAGCAAACTCCTATAAGAAAACAGTTTATAGATATATTTATTTCATGAAGCATCTTAGCTAAGAATACTTTTAAGAAAATACTAGACCAAAGTCTCAATAGCAATCTTAAAAGTGACTTGTATGGCCAGATATTAGTCTGTATTAATAAGCTACTATTAATAAGAGTCTTAATTTAAAATAAGAATTTAAATTGCATTTTAAAATCTTCACTTTTTTCCTGAGTATAAATATATACTATTGAAAAATACTTAACCATTATAGAAAAGTTTAAACAGCACACATATAAGATGACTTACAGAGTTAAAGAATCCTATAATTTTTGGTTTAGGGATAAACAAGGTTAACAGTATTACATATTTTTCCATGTTTTCCCCATGTATAACACACATTAATGCTAATTTTGTAATGCAAAGGTATCATTCTATACAAATTCTTCTGCAATTATATTTTTATAACTTTTTAAAAAACCTAACTAAACTTGGATATCTTTCTATTTATTATATATACCATACCCCAATATAAATTACACGAGGGCAGAGAATTTTGACCATTTTTTACTGTTATATTCCTTGTATTTAGAACTGTATTTGGCATATTACTGGCACTTAAAAAATGTTTCTGGAAAGAATGAATGAATCTCTTCTTTTTCTGAAAAGGTGTTAATTTAGACCATGCTCAAAAATGAGTGAATTCCTATTTTAATAATTTTATAGATATATAATTAACATTGAATCTTATGGAATGTATGCATGCTCATTTATATGTATGCATTTGTATCCAATGACAAAAATGATGTAAAAATATAAATACAAGCATGGGAATATCTGCTCTTTAGGCCAGAGCTGCTCATTCCTACCTGAGAAAAATTCACATTTAAAAACAACAATATAGTAAAATGTTTTTTACAATATTTTAAGTAGGAATTAAATTAACAACCAGAAGAAGTATAATTACATCAATGAATATATACTTACTTGTGCAGATTTAGTGGTTGTTTTAGAAGTCCTTAGAGTTTTCTTATTATAAGCTTTGCCATTCATTTTTATTTTAGAAATAGCAGATCCCCCACTTTTTGCTTTAGAGTCTCGATTAATTATTGTTAGTTCAGGAAAACTTTCCAAAGCATTCTTTAAAATAAAGCAAAAACAATTGATAACAGAAGAAAACTAATCTATATTACTTCCAGCTATTCAAATTTTATTTAGAAAAACATAGAAATTGAGGGAGGGGGGCAAGGGGCTGGGTATAGGTGGAAAAGGGGGGGAAAAAGCAAGAACAACACTAATAGTGTAAACAAAAAATAAAGGAAACAAAAAACAAGCATAGAAATGTGTACATATGTGTACATATACACACAAATATATGTGGGGGGGCGCTAATAGGGTGTGAATCTATACAGTACACAAATACACACAAGTGGGGTATTAAACATTGCCAGATTCTTTGTAGCTCCTCCCATCAAGATGGGAATGTAACTAGACTTACTGTGGTCATTTTGTAATATACACAAATATTGAATCTCTGTTATGTTCCTGAAGCTAATATAATATTGTATGCAATTATAACTCAATGAAAAAATGCGGAATCTATTTCTTCATCCCTTGAATCTGGGTCAACCTTATAACATGCTTTAAGCAATAGCACATGACACAGGGAACTCCTGAATGAGGCAGAAGTTTTTTGTTATAAAGCCTTTCTGGCTTCAAGGTAGGGGAAAGAGGGACATACAGATGCTTTTAACTTCTGATGGGGTTATGTTCTGACAAACCCTAAGCTGAAAATACTGTTAAGTCAAAAATGTGTTTAATACTATAGTGCAGAGCATTGTTGTTTACCCTCATGATCATATGTTTGATGGGGAGCTGGTGGCTCCCTGCATATTTTAGCCCAAGATCCAAATTTAAAACTTGAAGGACAGCTTCTACTAAATGCATAGCTTTTACACCATATTAAAGTCAAGAAATTAAGCTGAGCCATTGTAAATCTATTTAAGTTTCTTCAAAACCCTATCAGTTGAACCACTATTAACTCTCTGAAACTCAGCCAAGCCATGGGTCAGGGTGAGAACAGAGGGAAACAGAAGCATTGTAATGTTCCTCTGGGTTCACCATCTCTCTCGCTGCTTTTGACTATAGCAAAAGCAGTTGTGAAATGAGAGTGTAAAACAGAGTTGGATGAGTTCTCTGACCACAGTGATATAATAATTACCACTGACAATTTAGTAGCCAAATGGCAGAATTAGTTCCAGTCCATTCTTCCAAAAGCCATGGGCATATTTATGCCCTTACCTACTAGGAAATCATACTGACACGAAAAGCTACAAACTATAACTAAAGGATATGTGTAGCTAAACTTAACTAGTTTGAATAGTATTAAAATTGAGCTACTAGTATCATTTACTGAATATTTGATACTAGAAGGGCTCCCATGATATTTATTTTCCTGCATTGTTTATTATACAGAATGTAGTTTTCATTTGATAAGCTCTTTTTCAAACCCCGCATGAGGTCCCAAGCACCTGGTATTGTGACCCCAACAATAGTGCATTTTTAAACAGATAACCTAATGTTTTTAGACACAAGTGTAGGAAGGAACTAAGTTTTATTTAATAGACACAGTAAAATTTTTGGCATTTCCTACCAGAGTGAGTTATCATTAATTTCCAGCTTCATTCTCTTAGATTATTTGTTCTTTTATTATTATATATTCTGGTGCTTTCCATGTAAAACATGCCCAGGCTTGACCTACTTTTTACAACAAATGGAATTTAGAGACAGGAAAAAAAAAGGTTTCTATACCAGGTCAGTGGAGATGAAAGGAGAAAATTCAAATGATCTTTCTAAAAAGCGTAAGATGCTAAAGATGATTGGAAGTACATAGGTTTCAAAGGAAAACAGATAGATCATTAACTTCAAATGGCTTTTAGGATTCCTAAAATTAACAGTATCATCACAGGGAGTGATACTTAAAACAATCCACTGTTTGTAATATTTTACATCAAATCATTCTAACTCAGTACTATGTGTGTATTGTAGCTCTAAAATGCAAATTGCTAATAATGAAAATTATCAAAATTAACTATAATTTAAAAAATATAAATTTTGTGTTTTTCTGTGAAAATAACAGTATGAAAACTAATTTTTCACTTGTTTATCATAAAGTATTGCATAAGCTTTAAATATCTACTGAATCTATTAAATTCCAAGTGCAGGCTTAATTTTAATACAAGTTATTGGAGAATTGGTTTGACTATTTTAAAAGTAGCCCAAACTGGTCATTATGAAGATTTAATAAATCTTTAGAAAACACACATCTAATAACATTCTCTTGTCTCTAGAAAACATGGTATTTGAAGACAGCATTTAAGTGGAAAATACTTGACTAGGAGTCAGCAGACGAATTCTTAGTAATGGCTTTCTTACCAGCTTCTGACATTTTTTTCTCTGCAAGTGCACGTCAGTGAAAAATACAGGACTACCAGGAGAGTTTGGTGTCGATTCACTTCGAACTCAGTCTCACAGCCTTAACTTTTATCTAGCTAAAATGAAGTTAATTTTCACTTTTATGTGGCGTTCAGATAAAACTGGGGTGTTAAAAAGCTATGCATATTACCCAAAGGAGCTGAAACTTAAGTCCACACAAAATCCTGTACATGGGTGTATACAGCAGCTTTATTGATAATTGCCAGGATGAGGAAGCAACCAAGATATCCTTCAGTAGGTGAATAAACTGGTACATTCAGACAATGGATTATTATTCAGCGCTAAAAAGAAATGAACCATCAAGCTACTGAAAGCCCCGGCAGTAACTTATATGCATTATTACTTATATGCATAAGTGAAAGAAGCCAATTTTAAAAGGCTACATACTGTATGTTTTCAACTATGTGACATTCTGGAAAAGGTAAAACAATGGAGACAGTAAAAAGATCACTAGTTGCCAGACAGTGGGGGGAAGAGATAGATAGAGCACAGAGGACTTTTAGGGCAGTGAAACTACTCTACTAAAATACTGTCATAGTGGACACGTCTTACACATTTGTCCAGCCCATGAAACGTACAACACTGTCCGGTAAACTGTGGCCCCCGGGTTATAATGAGTGTCAGTGCAGGTTCACTGGAGTGGGAAACGCACCATTCTGGCGGGAGATGGTAACTGGGGAAGTTGTTCGTGTGTGGGGACAGGAATTAATTTTGCTGTGAATCTAAAACTTCTCTAAAAAATAAACTCTATTAATAAAAAGAAAAGCTATAAAATGTGTAAAAAAAATTTCCCCTTCACTAAATAGACTCAAATGCTCCTAAATGTTATTATACTTGGAATAAGAAAAGCTACATTTTTATATAGCTAAGTGGTTTATATGATAAGTTTTCTGAGTTTAGATTTAGCTTACTGTCATTTTATATTTCTGATAATACCAAAAACGATTTGTAGTGGCAAGATATACTAACAGATACAAGTATATATCTTTCCTATCATTACGTGAGGATTAATTTTCCCTCAGATATTGATTGGGTAAATCAAGCAAGTAAGGGAATTTATTTATTTATTTTTCTTTTATAACTTTTTTAAAATTTTAATTGTTGTTCAAGTACAGTTTTCTGTTTTTTACTCCCATCCCAGCCCACCCCTCAAGTAAAGGGAATTTTGATAACTGTGCTAAGTGGCCAATTCTAATTATAGACGAAATGTGAAAAACTTGAAAAGGTTCAAAAGTAAAAAGACTGAAATACAGTAGTAGTTTAAAGGATTTTTTAAAACACTCGAGAACTATTCTATAGAAGGAATACTACATGAATTTAAGTCTGAAAAATGAATTTAAGCAGAAAAAGCAAAGATTAAGAATGTGTTTAATAAAAAAGACAAGCTAAAAAGACTCATAATGAATAAAAGTCAAATTTTTATTGGTTAAGAAATTTTATTAAATGGAAAAGAACTTTCATAAATTTTCCTTCCTATTTAAGACTGTGACTGCCACTGAGTTTGCTAATAAATCATCTGAACAAAATACCTTGAATGGCTGATCCAAATGAAGATTCAAAAGAAGTCTCTTTCGGTTATCATTCAGCATGCTATCTATTTTTTTCATATGAGGCAAAAGTAGCTCATCTAAAACAAGATAAAAATTTATTGTAACAGGATAAACTATCAACACAAAAACTTGTTAAAACCCAACTTTTCTCAAAACATTAATATATTAAATTAAGTTCAGACATTAAATTCACTGGGTTATATAAAGTACTGCTTTAAAAAAAATAGGACGCGAAGTTTTTAGAATAAAAGCGAACTTGAAATAGATTTACAATAGCCAGGTGAGAAAGAAATAACATGACAGAATCCAAAGTGCTAGGTTTTTTTGCCCTGTCTCTGCCACCAAAAATGACTGATGGCAAGCTAATTCCTCCAGACCTCATTTACCATCTGTACAACAATAGTATTACAACCATTATATATTTAACATTATAAAGTTTTATAAAATACTACAAATGATATTCTTAAATCACTAGTTTGTGGGAAAGAAAAAGTAGGGGAAGAAAAATGATCAAAATCCAGTTTCAAGAACATAAGAGTCAACATACTATTTTAGAAAAGGATAGAGTAAAAGTAAAACAAAAGATTCCAACCCAAAACTTGTTGCTTCCTTTTTTACCCCTTTGAAACTTTATAAGGTCTTTTAAGGAAAGCACCTTGTAGTGTAAGTTAATTACTTTTGGTGCTATATTAAATATTTTAGGTTACTAGATAATTTCTAGGTGATATGTTTTATAACACTAATCAGCTATAATGACCTTTCTGAAAATGTATAAGCCTCAGGATCTAGTTATGAATTTCAGAGCTGAATAAAGCCACTCCTTATGTATTGTGGATAAAAACACAAGCAAAGTAACCAGTAAAAGAACACTTCCTAGAATTGAAGACAAAGTCTTCAGTGAGGAACACTTTCTATGGCAATACCTGATAGTGGTCTTTTATCTTTCTAGTAGTGATTAATTCTATTCAAACACTGTAAGAGGTATATTTCACAAAAACAAATTTCAAACATTTGTGGATTATTTTAAAATATAACCATTAAAATCTTTCCCCTTTCCATGAAATGGAGAAAAATCAGAAAACAATGAAAAAAATCATTTAAAACACAACTGTCCAGAAATGACCACTACTAAGAGATGAATTTTATGATGCAAGGAGTTTTGATTGAGAGAGAAAACAATCAATGGCAAAAATAACTTGGGGAATTAACTATTGGGTTTTAATCATGGCTCATCTAACTTGTTCTATAACTTTGGAAAATACACTTTATCTCTTTGAACCTTAGTCTACAAAACAAATATTTTAGACTAGATAATCTCTAAATCTCTTCCAGCTCTACCTGATTCTAAAATGACTGAGGTATGGATTACTGTCTCTGACTATATAGTCAAAAAAGGAATGGACCAGAAATGGTAAGACCTTGGATTTTAATCCTTTCTCTGCTACTTGCAAGTTGTGGGCCCTTAGGCAATTCACTTAACCTCCAAGATTCACAGCTTCACTGCCTACATCCACCAAAAAGGATGTCTAAGTTGTTCTGAGATTGAAATGGAATTTGGAAATAATAAAACAATATATATTATTAGGCATTGCTGTTGAAATATATTGTTACTGTCCTTTGATCTTACACTGGTTCATTTTGATGTAATGAAAAGTGGCTCCTTGACCCTTTCATTCCTTATTTCAGTTGTCCTTGGTGAACGCTAAAGTAGCTGAAGGCTAAATATTAGTAAGCAATATTAGCTATGTGAATTACTAGTTTATCTCATTTATCAATTTGTGGAAGGGGACCACATTCTAAACCTGACAAGCTCAGGGGAACCCTGCATGGCAGCCTTTCAAACTCAGAGACCTAAAGTAAGCACACAGGTCTGAAATTAAAACTTTTTTTAAAGTATATTTTATTGATTATGCTATTACAGTTGTCCCTTCCCCCCTTTATTCCCCTCTGCCCTGCACACCCCATCCCACCTATATTCCCCCCTTTAGTTCATGTCCATGGGTCATACATGTAAGTTCTTTGGCTTCTACATTTCCTACACTATTCTTAACCTCCCCCTGTCTATGTTCTACCTACCATTTATGCCACTTATACTCTACCTTTTCTCCCTCTCTCCCCCTTCCACTCCCCTGCTGATAACCCTCCACGGGTTCTCCATTTCTGTGATTCTGTTCCTGTTCTAGTTGATTGATTAGTTTGTTTTTGTTTTAGGTGTGGTTGTTAATAACTTTTGTTTGTTGTCATTTTACTGGTCATATTTTTGATCTTCTTTTTCTTAGATAAGTCCCCTTAACATTTCATATAATAAGGGCTTGGTGATGATGAACTCCTTTTACTTGATCTTATCTGCCCTTCCATTCTAAATGATAGCTTTGCTGGGTAGAGCAATCTGGGATGTAGGGCCTTGCCTTTCATGACTTGGAATACTTCTTTCCAGCCCCTTCTTGCCTGCAAGGTTTCTTTTGAGAAATCAGCTGACAGTCTTATGGGGACTCCTTTGTAGGTAACTGTCTCCTTTTCTTTTGCTGCTTTTAAGATTCTCTCCTTATCTTTCATCTCAGGTAATGTCATTGTTATGCGCCTTGGTGTGTGCTTCCTTGGGTCCAACATCTTTGGGACTCTCTGAGGTTCCTGGAAGTCTATTTCCTTTGCCAGCTTGGGGAAGTTCTCCATTATTTTTTCAAATAAGTTTTCAATTTTTTGTTCTTCCTCTTCTCCTTCTGGTACCCCTATGATTCGGATGTTGGAACATTTAAAGATGTCCTGGAGGTTCCTAATACTCTCCTTATTTTTTTGAATTCTTGTTTCTTCATTCTGTTCTGGTTAAATGTTTCTTTCTTCCTTCTGGTCCACACAGTTGATTTGAGTACCAGTTTCCTTCCTGTCACTGTTGGCTCCCTGTACATTTTCCTTTATTCCATTTAGCATACCTTTCACTTTTTCCTCTATTTTGCGACCATATTCCACCAATTTTGTGGGCATCCTGATTACCAGTGTTTTGAACTATGCATCTAATAGATTGGCTAGCTCTTCATCGCTTAGTTGTATTTTTTCTGGAGCTTTGCTTTTATCTGTTCTTTCATTTGGGCCATTTTTTGTGTGTGTGACCTCAGCACTCATTCTGTTGTAAGGGGCAGAGCCTTAGGCATTCACCAGGGCGAGACGACCATGTCACTGCATTTTGACACTGTACATAGGGGAGGGGTGTGAGAGGGAACAATGGTGCTTGCTATGCTCTCTGCAAGTTTTCAGTCACTTCCCCCACTACCCACAATCAAATTGGGCCCTTCTGGTGCTGATTCCTGGGTGGGTGGGCTTGTGTACGTTCTAGGACCCTGTAGGTCTCTCCAGCGAACTCTCCTGTGAGGATGGGAGTTTCTCCTGCTGCCTCAACCCCCACAAGTGTTTTCAATCAGAGGCTTTGAGGCTTTATTTCCCCACACTGGAAGCCTGGGTTGCGAGATCTGTCTCACTCCCTAGTTGTTCTTCCCAGTTTATCTGCACTTGAATGTGGGACCACTCAGTCCAAAATCTGCCTTGCTGGGTCTTCCAGCTGCCACCTTGCTGTGAGTCCTCTCTGCCCCGCTGCCTGTCTCTGCCCCTCCTACCAGGCTAGATGAATGTTTCTTCTTTTACTCCTTGGTTGTTGGACTTCCATACAGTTCGATTTTCTGGCAGTTCTGGTTGTTTTTTGTTTTTAAATTTGTTGTTTTCCTTCTTGTGGTTGTTCAAAGAGGCCCAGTGTGTCTACCTACTCCTCCATCTTGGCCGGAAGTCCATATCCAGTAGTTTATTTGAAATTAAAACTTTCTAACAAAAAGGAGTTCGTGGCTGGTATCCATCTTTTGTTAGGGGAAAAAAAACCTGAGCCATTATTTTCCCCTAACAAAGGTCAGTCTTTACTTTAATTGAGCCTGTCTGCTGTCTTTTTGCACGTGTGACCACATACCTTCAGGATGTCAAATTTCTTTTCTGGACCCCTCAAACACAGAGGAGACCACAAATCCCCTCATTGTTATTGTTATCATGTTAATTGTTGACTAGTATCTGTCCTGTACCCACCTGTGTAAAAGTGTCTCATTTTACTTTTTATCCGATCCCAGAGGTCCTGCCTCCCTAATCTATTGCCAAAGGATTTCATGTCACCCACTTACCCTGCCTCTTTTGATTGTAATGTATAAATTGAGATGCAAAACTGCCATTCTCTGAATCATTATCTAAACTTGTTGATATTTTGCTTTCCAGCAATTGTGAGTTTGGCTCAAATAAACTAACCAAAAATTCTCCACGTTTGAATATTTCTTAGATTGATGTTTACTTTGTGTAGTTGGCAGGATTCCACAGAAGCCCAACCAGGATCACCTTGCAGACCCACTCTCTCTCTGGATACCCGCAGAGGCTTATTATGCCTCACCAGCTCCTTGTTTTGCAAAGGGTGAACCTGGATGAGTTTCAGTTGGAATTCTGTACTTCCCTGTTTTAAGGTGTGAGGGCCTGACTTTTTAAATCCGCGCAGTAGAACTAAGATTAAGGGTTGGCAGAACCCAATTTAAGGTGGGACTGGAGGGAAAAATGGGTGGCTGGTTTTAATTTTGGCTTTTCAATTGGAATTGCTTTTTGACAGTCTGACATGCAGACTCTACAGATCCCAAAATAAAACTAAAATTAAGATGGGAAATTGTGCTTCCAAGGCCAGAAAATCCCAGACCCTGGCCCTCATTAATATTCCTCGTAGGATGCCTTGATGTGCGTTACAGAAATCGGAAGATTTAACTATTAGAAGTGATATAAACTTAAAGTGGCCAATAAGCAGTTTTCTTTTGATGCCTAAATTAATTTTTTGCACGCAAAATTAGAAAAATGCTGGCTCTAAAATTAAACTGAATGTATGAGAAGCATAGCTTGATTTAGAAATTGGAATCTTCTCAAAGAAGCAGTGAAATTCTTTTAAAAAGTTAGTAAGAAATTTTAGAGACTGTCTCAGAGCTAAAAGCAGTTTCTGAAGCTAATAAATGCCACCGCTTTATTCCTCCCCTCTAAGACTCTGATACCAAAGTCTGTCTTTGAAATGCAAATA